GGGGGAAGACGGGGCCCAGTTGGGGTGTCCCGTCTCCCGGGTTTCGGCACCAATGAAAGGAAAGGAGCGACACACAACAGCAATTCACCGGAGAGTTCCGCTTTATTAGGGAAAGGTGCTGGGTTATATAGGAAGGGGCATAGGGTGATTGTGGTGTTACTTCTACGGGGCTGGTGGCTGTTGGCTAGGTGCTGGGATTGGGAGGGGGGCGAGAGGTGATTGGGCTTCAGGTGGCGCCGGCGGGAACCGAGGACCCCCCGAAAAGAAGCCGGAAGTTTGCCATCTTACTGGTGGGGATCCTTCACTCAGGATATGAATTTTCTGATTTATTTTGCCTCTTTACCCACCCTGGTTTTAGGCATTTTGGAAATTCTCTGTGTTATTTTGAGGTCAGGTATGTATTAAAGCAAGTGTTTTTTGTTTTTGTTTTTGATTTGTTTAGAGAGGGATAGCTTCTCACACTAATTAAATCACCATATTGAGTAACTTACCCTATTGTTGTTCCATTTATGGAGCCACACACTTAGAATGTCAGAAATGACTTCATCTGTGGCTAAAGTGAAAACTATTACTTCCCAAGTATTGTATATTTTCTATGGATGCTTTCTTTTTGCTTTTTACTAAGGTCAGTTTTCTTTCTGCTTATTTGTCATATTTCAGTCTATAATTTGAGTAGGGGTGAAAAGGAATGGAAATTTTTTTTTCTTTTTCTAATACTTTACCATTTTTAGCTTGGAAGCAGAAAGAAAAAAAAAGTTCACTGTGGAATTTTGTGAACTTTTAAAGGCTGATATTAAATGTGCCAAATAAAGAAACCTGTCTTTTGGTACGCAATTCCTCCTATCTCATGTGTTAATGTGGATCTGAATTCTGTTGAATTTCTTTTTTTCCTATGTGGATGTGAAGAACATAGATGTTGTTTTATAAAATACACTAGGTGGCAAACCCTACGACTGTTTAGAAAGAAAAAGAAAACAATGAGAACTTGGGCAAATAGTTCATGCTAAGCCTTAAAATATATTGCTTATTTCATCCATACAGAAAACAAGCATGAGGCCAAGAGGAGGCGAACAGAGAGAGTTAGGCGAGAGAAGATAAATTCTACAGTAAATAAGGATTTAGAAAACAGAAAGAGGTCTCGAAGTAACAGCCATTCAGATCATATCAGACGAGGAAGAGGAAGACCAAAAAGTGCATCTGCCAAAAAACATGAGGAAGAAAGAGGTATGAATAAATTCAAGAAGTGTTTTTTTCAAGTATTATGTTTTTCTAAGGTATTAGGTTGTAGTGAAGAAAGTGTTTGGTAGGCATTGAACTCCTGGACTTAAAATCTTAACTCATATTTACTTTGAAAATATTTCCACTAAGGTAGATGCTTGTTTAAAAAAGTGAACATAATTTTATTTCTTACTGGAGTACTAAGGCCTTACATTAGGTAAAATTCACCTTTCTATAAACTGATGATTAAAGATTTTAGAGATAGTCATTTGTTTATGACAACGGGAGATGGTTAAAATGGTTGAATTTTTTTTTCTTAAGGTAAGTGAGTTCTGTTAAGATTTATTTCAAACTGTTATACTATGAGTTTTAAAAGTTACTCTAATTTTTAAATTGCTCGTTTTGTGTCCCCTAGTTTGAGGCAGCTTTTGGATAGTTAGGTAAATTATTCTTTGTCCAAAACATACTTACATTCTTCTTAACAGAACTTCTCCTTTCCTTTGATAAGTAGTATATCTACTAATAACTTGTTTTTAACTATTAACTAAAACTTCATCTTCTTTTTCCTTGACTTACACATCTTTAAAAAAAAAAATTCCAAGATTACACAAGAGTAGAATGAATAGGATAATGGACCCCCATAAGCCCCTGAATATCTTTTTTAAATTGAGGTTTTCTAGCCAGTCATTAATGAAAAAATGAATAATTGCTCTTTATAATTCTTTAAAAACTGTGTCAAAATAATTTCATCTTCAGTGAAGAGCATTTATAATTTTTCATGTTATTTGTGAGTTATGCTTTGCTTTTCTTCAGGTATTAGTCTTAGGTATTTAAGCATAAATATAAATTTCTCCTATTTTAAAATAGAGAATTTTTTAGAATTGAGAAATTTTCACCATTTCTGTTTTGTATGCGTTTATTTGAAAAAAGGTACTACTGTTAGTGGCATAACTTCATTGGCATAACTGTCTCTTGCTTTTATCAGAATTAAAGATTTCTTAGTATTTGGGTAAAGGAATAAGGCTTCTGTCATATTTGGCTGTATTTCATGAAGACTGTATTTAGATACTCCTTAATTCCTTGGGTAATTTTACTGCTTTTTCCTCTTTCCTTTTATGCTGCTCTTTCCAGTTTGTTATTTTTTCAATTTGAATTGCTTCATTAACAGTGGGATGATCAAGAAATTATGCTAAAGACTTTCAGAAGGAGAACTAAGAAAAGTCAACAGAAAAAAAAAAAGGAAAGGGAAATACTGCTTGGCTCAGAAAACATTTTTTTCAGCTGAAGTGAAGGGGATATAACCCAAAGAATGGAGAAGGAATGTTTCTGATGGTGGGTGAGAGAAGATGAGAATACAGATAATGACAGTCTTTTTGTTGGGGAAATGAAGTCTGTGTAGTTATGCTAGGACTCTGTATATGCAGTTTTGAACTTTTTCATGTTAACTTGAAAAAAGAGTTTGAATTAGCTATAAATTTTTTTTCAGGTATTTTGTTGAATAAAAGTTTTCTGGAAAACTATTTCTAGAGTAAGATGTGCTTTTAATTTGTTTGCTTTTAATACAAACATGAAAGTACTCAAAGCAATTTTTGTAGAATAAACTGGAATCTTTTAATATAGGTGGAGAGGGGCAGCTAACTTTTTCTGTAAAGAGCAGATAATAAATATTTTAGGCTTGTGGGCTATACAGTGTCTGTCACAGCTACTCTGCTCTGTCATTGCAGCTGGAAAGTAGCCATAGACAATATGCAAGATTGGTCATGCTGTGTTCTGGTAAGACTTTATAAAAACAGGTGGTAGGCCAGATTTGGCCCCTGGGTTGTATTTGCCACCTTGAGGCAGACCATATTCTCTAAATACAATACAGATAGGAAGTATGAACTTTTGAAATGTGTATGCATTTTAGAATAGACTTCTTTGATATACTTCTTAGTATTAAGTAGCTATTTAGATTAGTTCAGTTTTTATTGATTCCCTGCTTTTTGGCACTTGAAAAATTTAAAGCAACATTTGCCTTTAATAAGGAAAAGTTGACAATGTATCTAAAAACACATTTTCAATTGACTTTATTGCTTTCTCTATTTTGAAAAAAGGAATAGGAAGTAGAATGGAAAAAGCTTGTTAGACATCTAAATAGCATATCTTTATAAAACCATAAAAACAGTCAAACAACAATTTTTAATTGGTTTAAGATAAATTTTCATTTTATTTGAGGGGATTATGATTATTCTGGGTATAGTAATATAGGACAATTTAACTGATTATATTTGGTAATTCTCAATATTTTTTTTGTAGATAATTATTTTTTATTGAAGGGTAGTTGACACACAGTATTACATTAGTTTCAGGTGTACAACACAGTGATTCAACATTTATATACATGATAATTCTAGGTACCAGCTATCACCATACCAAGTTGTTACAATATTTTGACTATATTCCTTATGCTATACATTACATCTCAGTTACTTATTTATGTTACAATTGGAAGTATGTACTTTTTTTTTGTTATTTTTGTATTTTTTAGAGGGCATCTCTCATATTTATTGATCAAATGGTTGTTAACAACAATAAAATTCTGTGTAGGGGAGTCAATGCTCAATGCACAATCATTAATCCACCCCAAGCCTAATTTTCATCAGTCTCCAATCTTCTGAAGCATAACGAACAAGTTCTTACATGGAGAACAAATTCTTACATAGTGAATAAGTTACATGGTGAACAGTTACAAGATCAGTCATCACAGAAACTTTCGGTTTTGATCATGCATTATGAACTATAAACAATCAGTCCAAATATGAATATTCGTTTGATTTTTATACTTGATTTATATGTGGATACCACCTTTCTCCCTTAATTATTATTTTTAATAAAATGCTGAAGTGGTAGGTAGATGCAAGATAAAGGTAGAAAACATAGTTTAGTGTTGTAAGAGAGCAAATGTAGATGATCAGGTGTGTGCCTGTAGACTATGTGTTAATCCAAGCTAGAAAAGGGCAATAAAACATCCACGGATGCAGCAGATTTCTCTTAGAACAGGTGGGGAGAGGTTCTAAGCCTCACCTCTGTTGATCCTGGTAATTCTCAATATTTTATAAATGAACATTTAGAATTAATGTACATTTCATGTTAAAGATTGTGTATTGAATAAATACATCTAGCTCTGCATCCTCCCCAAATCCTAGTAAAATGACAGTAAAGGGATTTTTTTTTTAAGGACAAAATCCCACAAGGACAAGGAATGGGAGAAAGAACAAACTTTTGGAACGTGATAACTGCTTTAACAGACTCATGAGACCTAAATTGTAAGCTCCCTTGGGGAAAGCTAAGAAAGAGTCTGATTTTTATTACACAACTGCCTTAAGGTCAGGAATCTGTGCATCAGTTATGTCTGGAAATATAGAGGTGAAGGTGAGGCTAAAAACTAGACTGTTTGAAAGAGTATCTTTTAATAGCCTGCTAGGGCTGTTTACCTTGTCTTCCCCTCCTTCCAGATTTATCCTTTCAAAAAGATAAGACAAAATGGTCTCTGGTCTAGGGCATCATTGAGGCAAGGTACTGTATTAAGATCAGGATGATTGGGTGAAGATTGGGATATAATAAGTACTGAGTTCTCTGGACAGGCTTTTATATTCCAAGTAAGAGATTAGAGATATCCTCTTTGGGGAATATGAAGAGCCTAAGAGAAAAGGCCTAAAATAAAGATACTTAAGGAATATCACAAAGAAATGGCTCAGACAGCTCATCCTGAAGTGATGACTATAGTCAAGTTCCATATATGTGCATGAGCTAATCTGTTTTATTTGGTCATATTCTTAAATATGAGCATATTACCAAGAATTACCCAGATATATGGAGAAAAGAGTCTTGTATGAAAAGCTAAGACCAAATCAACAGGGAAAAAAAAACTTGGATAGTTTTCTTTTGTAAGGAAAAAAGAAAAGATTAAACTGTTATTAATATTCTAGCAAGAGAAGGTATTGTAGTCATGAAATAAGACCAAGATGATTATTTGAAAGGAAATGGCAGATATCAAAAAAATACCTGAAAATAAACTAAAAAATATTAATTAAAAAGTATGTGAATAAACATATGACTTGGGGAAATGAAAAACTTTAACAGGCTTATAGACAAAATGGAAGAAATGCACCAGAATGTGATAACACAGTAGGAAAAGAGACAAAAAGATAAAATCAGAAAGATAAGAAATTTAAAGGACCAGTTTGAGATCATCTATGAATAAGTGATGTTGCAGAAAAAGAATATACAAAATGGAGAAGGATGTTATCAATGAAAATTCAAGAAATTTTCCTACATCTGAAGGACAGTGAGTTTCCATATTGAAACAGCCCACCAAATTCCCCACCCAACAGATATGAAGTAGAGATTATGTCAGAGATATCAGAGCATATCATCATAAATCATATCTCTTTGGTCAAAGGAAAAATCTTTCTCAAGTGTTCAGAGAAAAAAGAAAGAACATCAAAATGGTATTGGAATTAATACAGTGGAATGCCACCCAGCAAAGAACAAACTACTCTTATGTAAACAGCATCAGTGCATTTCAAAAACATTGAATGAAAAAGGTACTAGACATAAAGCAGTACATACTATATGATACCATTTATATGAAGTTCAAGAACAGTCAAAATGAATATGTGGTGATAGAATCACAACATCAGTTGCTGGTGGTTGGTGAGGGATAGACTGGAAAGGAATATGAAGAATTTTCTGTATCTTGATTGTGGTGTGAGTCACATGGATATATGTTTGTGAGAAATCATCCAGTTGTACACTTAAGATCTGTACATTTTGCCATATGTAAATTTAGCAATAATTTAAAAAATATGTTAAAAAAGGTAATGAGTTTTCTTAACAGTGGCACCAGTAGTTGAAAAACAATTTTTGCTTTCATCATACTAAGAGGAAATTTATGTATTCAGGGTCTCAGAAAATTTGCTACCTGTATCTACCTGTAGCTTGAAGCTACTACGAGATAAATGCCATCAAAATGAAGAAGTAAACCAAGAAAGTATCTTGGGATCCAGACCATAGGTTCCAACTCAAGAGATGAGAATTTCCTGCCTGATGCTGAAAGAGAGCCCAAGATGATAATTGTGTAATAGGCCTATAGAGCAACCATTTCAGATTGGAACAGATGGAAAGACTTCGAGAGATTTTTTCAAGAAGATAAAATTGATTTAACACTTAATATGTGAAACATTCTGGAAAATTTAACTAGGAGAGTTTAGGTTCAACTAGTAATGAAAATTAAGCAAATGAAAAAGGAGAATCTCAAGAGAAAACAGTATTCAAGAAAAATGAAATCATTTACCCAGTCTGAATAATGTAAAGAATGAATATAAATCTCACCAAATTGTGATATAACTATAGTAGGAAAATGGGATGGAAAGAGTATGGTGGGGACAAGAGATGGAAAACAGTAAAATCGTAATTTTCTGTGGTAGAAAATCAGTAATGCCTAAAACCAAAAAACCAAGTAGCAGCATCATATAAAAATATTACTTAAAGACTGGTAAAAACAAGAAGGAACAACTGAAAAAAAAGTAGTTGCATTTGTGGAGAGTGGGAAATGTGCAGTGAGGGGAGGAGGACTTCTGTTTTTTTTAACAAGTTTTGTAAAAAGGATTTGTCTGTAAACTATATACCTGTTTAACTTTGAATAAAAAGTCAGAGTAAAACGAAACAGACAGAAGTAGAATCATGGTAGCCTGAAAAAAGAATTTGGAAGAAGGTACACAAAGATGTTAATTGTGATTTTAGTTGGCTTATAAGAGGTGATATTTAATTTTTTGTTTTTCTGTATTTTTTCAGTTTTCTGCCATGAACTTGGATTACATTTGAAATCAGGAGGGGAAAAATAGAAATAAAAGTTGGTTATTCTTATTTTCTGTAGCAGAGCTAAGGTGAAGGAGTTAATATGTTCATAAAGGCACTATTGATACTCAGAAGGGACCATCTGTGGAGTGAGAAAATTAGTTTTGATTGAGACAATGAGCTCATGTTAGGAAAAAGCAATATTTTAGATTTTACAGAAATTATATAGATATTTATATGACTATACAAATCTAGTCTCCATTTAGTTTTATAATTTAGTTCATGGTATTAATAACTTCTTTGTAATAAAAAAATTCAATTCAGAGGCATAATACTTTATAACATTTAATATACTTTGTATAATATTGTCATTTAAAGAAATACTTGAAAGCTTTACATTTAAAAGAATTACTTCATCTACTGCCTTTATATTAAGCTTTGCCTTTTTCTTTTAACAGAGAAACAGGAAAAGGAAATTGACATCTATGCTAACCTCTCTGATGAAAAGGCTTTCGTGTTTTCAGTCGCCTTGGCAGAAATAAATAGAAAAATGATCAATCAAAGACTTATTCTCTGATATTTGTCTGCAAAATGTGTTGAAACTTTCTTCAGGATCACATCAGCAAATTATCAAAACAGTTATGGACTCTCAGGAGCATTCTGACTGTATCAGTAAGGGCCATTGAGTGTGTGTGTGTGTGTGTGTGTGTGTGTGTGTGTGTGTGTGTGTGTGTGTGTGTATTTTCCCTATCACTTAGCCTGTGCTACACTTCAGGAGCAAAGCTATATTGGACTGTTCTGGGATTTCCTTGTTTTTCAAGGAGTATTGTCAGTGTTTTGTGTTTGGGATATAAGTGTATTTACCAAAAAAAAGAAAAAAGCTGGATGGCTGTAAAAGATAAAGGAGTAAGGGTGGGAATGCAAGTATGAAAACTAGGTAAATAAAATGCTTGTTAGTTTTCAGGTTTGCCACCAGAGATGCAATATTTTAAATACTTTGAGAAAGAGTGACTTTTAAAAATATATATTTCAGATTATCGTCACTAACAGATTGCATATATACAGTTAATTTACTTTTAATAAATTGGCAATTGATATTTTATTGAATGGGAAATTAAGAATATAAATGTAAACTTTGTCTTAAATTGATTTTTTTTTTACTTATTTTTATGACTTAAGGTATGAGTTATATTTTAGAGATACTTTCTAGACAGTTTAGAAATTTGGGTGCTATATGAAGAAAAACAGTTAAGGATATATCATACTTCAGATATAAATACCTTGTTTTCTTGAATGTAATTTATTTAATTGCTTAAAAAAGAAAACTTTTTCTGTGTTCAAGATGGTGCCTGTTAGCCTAAACATAAAATATATTTATTATGTGCAAAGTATTTCTTAGATAGCCACTTTTAAGCAGTAATGTTTTATCTGGATGGATGTTCACTTACACATCCTGATAATTATTTAAAGTGTTACTTAACCTCATTCTGGAAGAAAAAATAAACCTTAATATTGAAACTAATAGAGTAACTAGTGTGATATAATCTTTTTGTTCTGGTGAAATTTGTGAAATGGACTTAAACAATTTTTCTAGTGTTAAATGATAACCATTTATAGTTTACTTATTTTATACAAAATACTTTTGCATTTTTGCATATTGATTTAATGATTAACATATTCAAACATGGCCATAATGTCCCTGGACTCCCCACCCACTTAGCCAAAACCTATTTGGAAGTCCTAAAGCCTTATTGGGGAAAGCAGACTTAAAATAGACTTAAAATAGTTAGACTTAACCTTTGCTGAAGAGAATTTCCCTCTAGGTATCAACAGTAGCATTGTCAGCATTATTCTGCATCTCCCATCATCTCCCAAGAGAAAAACAGTTTTTGACTTTTTTTTTTTCTCTTTTATTTAAGTGGTAGCCAGCAGAGGGAGCTTAGGAGGTGCTTTAGGTAGGATGTAGAATTTTTCCTAAAAATTCCTTTTCCCTCAATCCCCATATTTACATGAGGTCCTACTACAGTTATCTTGTATACATTTTAATGTCCTAGTAAAAAAAAGTATATTCCCAAGAATGCTGTGATCTATCTTTGAAACCCAATGTAAGAAAACTATTTTCATTTTGAGAAAAAAGTGATTAATAAGTAAAAATGCTTGTGGACATACTTAAGTCCTCAGAAAAATCAAGAGCAGCTTATGGAGTAGGCATCTTTAAAGAATTATTGGTGTTAGAGTATACCCATTTAAAGCTGTAGACTCTTAGAGGAAAGTCACGTTAAAACAGTCATTGGATACAATAAGGGGAGGAGACTGGTGACTAGGCTGGAGCTTGCAATGTAGAAAAGTAATTTCAGGTGCTCATAATGTTAAGTCATTGGCTTAAGTAAGTTCTTTGGAAGAAGGCAAATTAGGCTTTAGTTTGTGGTGGAACCTATTTAACAAATTTCTCTAAAAATGGTATTCTCTAATAGATATCATTTATATGCTATCATTATAAAGCTGAATTTGTCTAGGTATGTTATAATGGTCTAAGAAAATAGTAATTTGTCCATGATGTTGAAGAAACTTAATCATCAGATTCCTAAGAGCATAATTATAGTAAGTTAATTACATAATCCAAAATATGCTCTGTTCTAATTCCTATAAATGATTCCATAATTAGATGAGGTCTACTGAAAATATGTTCATTCTTTTTAAAAAAAATTTTTATTAAAGTATTATTGATATACACTCTTATGAAGGTTTCACATGAAAAAACAATGTGATTACTACAGTTACCCATATTATCAAGTCTCCACCCATACCCCAAAGCAGTCACTGTCCATCAGTGTAGTAGGATGCCAGATTCACTGTTCGCCTTCTCTGTGCTGTACTGTTTTCCCCGTGATCCCCCACACCATGTGTACTAAACATTATACTCCTCAATCCCCTTCTCCCTCCCTCCTCACCCACCCTCCCACACCCCACCCCTTCGGTAACCACTAGTCCCTTTCTGGAGTCTCTGAGTCTGCTGCTGTTTTGTTTCTTCAGTTTTGCTTCGTTGTTATACTCCACAATGAGGGTAATCATTTGGTACTTGTCTTTCTCCACCTGGCTTATTTCACTGAGCATAATGTCCTCCAGCTCTATCCATGTTGTTGCAAATGGTAGGATTTGTGTCTTTCTTATGGCTGAATAGTATTCTATTGTGTATATGTACCACCTCTTCTTTATCCATTCATCTATTGATGGACACTTAGGTTACTAACGTATCTTGGCTATTGTAAAGAGTGCTGCTATAAACATAGGGGTGCATATATCTTTTTGAATCTGAGAAGTTGTATTATTTGGGTAAATTCCAAGGAGTGGGATTCTTGGGTCAAATAGTATTTCTCTTTTTAGTTTTTTGAGGAATCTCCATACTGCTTTCCACAATGGTTGAACTAGCTTACATTCCCACCAGCAGTGTAGGAGGTTTCCCCTTTCTCCACATCTTCACCAGCATTTGTTGTTCTTAGTCTTTTTGGTGCTAGCCATCCCTACTGGTGTGAGGTGATAGCTCATTGTGGTTTTAATTTGCATTTCCATGATGATTAGTGATGTGGAGCATCTTTTCAGGTGTCTGTTAGCCATCTGAATTTCTTCTTTGGAGAACTGTCTCTTCACATCCTCTGCCCATTTGTTAATCAGATTATTTGCTTTTTCGGTATTGAGGCATGTAAGTTCTAAATATATTTTGGATGTTAACCCCTTGTCGGATATGTCATTTACAAATATATTCTCCCATACTGTAGGATGCCTTTTTGTTCTGTTGATGGTGTCCTTTGCCGTACAGAAACTTTTCAGTTTGAAATAGTCCCATGAGTTCATTTTGCTTTTGTTTCCCTTGCCTGGGGAGATATGTTCATGAAGAAGTCACTCATGTTAATGTCCAAGAGATTTTTCCCTATGTTGTCTTCTAAGAGATTTATAGTTTCATGACTTACATTCAGGTCCTTGATCCATTTTGAGTTTACTTTTGTGTGTGGGGTTAAACAATAATCCAGTTTCATTCTCTTGCATGTAGCTGTCCAGTTTTGCCAACACCAGCTGTTGAAGAGGCTGTCATTTCCCCATTGTATGTCCATGACTCCTTTATCATATATTGGTGTCAACCATAATTGACCATATATGGTTGGGTTTGTATCAGGGCTCTCTAGTCTGTTCCATTGGTCTATGGGTCTGTTCTTGTGCCAGTACCAAATTGTCTTGATTACTGTGGCTTTGTAGTAGAGCTTGAAGTTGGGAAGCAAAATCCCTCCAGCTTTATTCTTCATTCTCAGGATTGCTTTGGCTATTTGAGGACTTCGTGGTTCCATATGAAGTTTAGAACTATTTGCTCTAGTTCGTTGAAGAATGCTGTTGGTATTTTGATAGAAATTGCATTGAATCTGTAGATTGCTTTAGGCAGGATGGCCATTTTGACAGTATTAATTCCTCCTATCCATGAGCACGGGATGTGTCCATTTATAGGTATCTTCTTTAATTTCTCTCATGTGTGTCTGTCTTGTAGTTTTCAGAGTATAGATGTTTCACTTCCTTGGTTAGTTTTATTCCTAGGTATTTCATTCTTTTTGATGGAACTGTGAATGAAATTGTTTTCCTGATTTCTCTTTCTGCTAGTTCGTTCTTAGTGTATAGGAGCCACAGATTTCTGTGTGTTAATTTTGTGTCCTGCAACTTTGCTCAATTCAGATATTAATCCAGTAGTTTTGAAGTGGATTCTTTAGGGTTTTTTATGTACAATATCATGTCATCTGCAAACAGGGACAGTTTAACTTCTTCCTTGCCAATCCGGATGCGTTTTATTTCTTTCAGTTGTCTGATTGCTATGGCTAGGACCTTCAGTACGATATTGAATAGAAATGGGGAGAGTGGGCATCCTTGTCTTTTTCCCAATCTTAAAGGAAAAGCTTTCAGCTTCTCACTGTTAAGTATAATGTTGGCTGTGTGTTTGTCAATATGGCCTTTATTTTGTTTTGAGGTACTTTCCCTCTATACCCATTTTATTGAGAGTTTTTATCATGAATGGTTGTTGAATTTGTCAAATGCTTTTTCAGCATCTGTGGAGATGATCATGTAGTTTTTGTCCATTTTGTGTATGTGGTGGATAATACTGGTGGATATTCAAAGTTGTACCATCCTTGCATCCCTGTCCCTGTAATAAATCCTACTTGATCACGATTGGTGATCCTCTTGATGTATTTTTATTTTATTTATTTTTTATTTTTTTATTATCAATCTATAATTACATAAAGAACATTATGGTTACTAGACTCCTCCCTTCACGAAGTCCCCCCCTCCCACAAACCCCATTACAGTCACTGTCCATCAGCATAGTAAGATGCTGGAGACTCACTACTTGTCTTCTCTGTGTTGCACAGCTGTCCCTATGCCCCCCCCCCCCATTATACATGCTAATCATAAGGCCCCCTTTCTTTTTCCCTGCCCTTATCCCTCCCTTCCCACCCCTCCTGCCCAGTCACTTTCCCTTTGGTAACTGTTAGTCCATTCTTGGGTTCTGTGATTCTGCTGCTGTTTTGTTCCTTCAGTTTTTCTTTGTTCTTATACTCCACATATGAGTGAAATC